CGTACTTGAAGGTGCACTTTCCAGCTAATTTAGTCACTTTACCTGACGGCATTTGCTTAGGATTAAGGAGCTTTAATTGTCATTATACCAGAAATGCGGATTCATGTAGGCTTGTGAAATGAAACTCGCAGACGGAAATATACAAATATTTACTGACTGACTTCCAGGTGCGTTCTCGTAACAAGCTAGGTAAAAAGGTCGTTGAATCCTGCTTTGACCGTCGGTATTGTTCCCTTTGCGTTTGCATTCACATTTCCTTTACAATGCTGTTAGACCAGACATCTTCCTTGGTTGTTTCCACAACCCATTCAGCCAAGATCCGACCACTTGTCGGCAGCTGTGACAGCAGCATACAGTTTGGTGTTTTACTAAGTGGCTGTGACAGTTTCATCCAATTACCTTCGAGCATTTTTGTTTTGATTTATAGTCCGAAGGTCTACTACAACCGCATTACGCGTAGATATGTAATTTCTCGATATAGCGCATATTAAACTAACCATAGGAAAGCATGTTCCTAAGTACTACTTCTCTAATCATATGTTTTCGGCCCATCGCGATAGCAGTAGATATTGACCGAATTCTTAGCTGAGCTATGCACAAGTGTGCACTTCAGTGCTTACTAATGTTGCGCATCGCGCATACAGTTGTTAATGTGTCGAATGCAAGTTCACTGAAAATAACACTTCATTTATCAGTATCTCAAGCTTCTGCCTGTTCTGGACGTGAGAGATTTCTGTGCTTTGCAATGTTATGCGATACATTCGACCTGGCACACTGTGTGCCGATGCTATGCACAGGTGTTCACCAGCATATGTTATCCGCAGCAATTGGCACCTGGGTAGTGGACAAACGTCAGCTCTTCACAGTGTGCTCACTAATCAGTGCCAAAGCGCATCCACGCAGATTGGCCTGTAACTACTGAAGCTAAACTACCCCAAATGCGGACACTTCTGTAAATATATAAGCTTCCATGTTAGTCTGCGAAGTTGTACTGTTGTGTATTTTGATTGCGATACGCCATCACAATTCAGACCAGGAATCAAGTTGGAGAAAACCTTCGCCATTCCGACTACTGGGATCATGATCGATGGAAAGAGTTTTGTGCCCAGCGGCATAGGTGGGGGGACAACTAAACATATGCGAGTAAAAATCTCATAAAACATAAGTCATCTTAGCCATATATTACGGCTATACTGAAAAGAGCGCGTCCTATTATACCAATTTCTAAGACTCACAAGATTATCGAGTAAACAAAACAGCTATCTTTGTGGGTTCACGGATACATAGCTCAGTTAGTACAACTGGAGCTATCATTGCCCACGGCTTCAGGACCGCACTTAAACACTGCACAGAGTCCCGAGGGAATACCGCCAGTTTCGCTAACACATAGGTAACCATGACAATACAACCTCGTTTCTAGGACATTTTCGATAGAAGCAAGCATCGAACGTGAACAAGTGGACGGTCCAGTCAGCTTCAGAATGAGGTGAATATGGAATAGTTTTGTACATTAAATCGCTCAATGACTGTTATCAGGACAATCGCAAACATCACCACCTTCAGCCTAGTTGTTTGCTCCAAAATTGCTAGAAAATGCGTTCATGGACAAAATACTTGGCTTCCTTCAATGTTGGAGGTGTGCAACATTGAGTACTCTCCATTGCTTAGCTTGCTTCCACTGCATGTCAATAATAAGGGATGACGTTGTGCGATGTTATGTGCGGAGTTATATTTAACGCAGGTTTTCTGAAGTCTAAATGATAGGAGCATAGTATGTAACAGTGCTAGGTGTGACACGAAGCAACCTTCTGAAAGATTCTCAAACTGCCGCTTTCTGATCATTCTTGGAGCAGCAACATTACCGTCAAACCTCCATACGCTTTTATAGTCTACAAAGCCCCTCTAACAACTCTACATGCACCACTTGAGGTTCTTCATCACTGAAACTAAAGTTAGATGATAAATCAATGTCGTCAATATTTTCAACCATGCTTGCGTATGGCCCTTCCTAAACGAAGGTCCCAATCTTCCATGTGCAAGTGGAACACCTCGAACAATGGTCCAGATGAATCTACTTAAAAGCCCGATATGGTCATAGAAAATCTCTCAGTGAAACTCACCGACAACTTAGTTATTAGAATTGATCGGTAGATTAAATGCCATATTTATCTGGATAACCATATTTTACGAAGTTTCCAAATATTCCATGAGGATCCTTGATCAAAACGGTAAACAGCCGTAAAAGATTTGGAGCCACCTTAGTGCATCTTACTTCAGCAGTTTTTCTGATATTTGATCTCTATTGAACATGGAAACGCCGCTTCTTCCACTGCTCCTGAGCTCACAGTTTTCCATTTCATGTACATGTATGTCTGAGACCCGGAACTAGAAAAGCTCATGTGAACTAGAGAGTGATAAATCCTTAGAGCATAATGAACAACGTTCCTACTTTCCTCAACTGCTTGATACGTCAATGAAGGTTACAGTCAGAACCATTTATGATATAGTCCCATTAACATTACTCCAGATGCTGCACAAGGTTTCGAAGAAAATCATATGGTTCTGTCAACGGGGCAGCACCCCCTTTCCTAGCAGTCGGAACAGGTGATCATGACGCATGCCGAAGTTTTTGGCCAACCAATGAGATCGGCTAACGATGACGCTTCACCTTGAACGCTGCCAATGAAAACGGTCTAACTTGAACCCCGTCAGTGAGCGTCAAGCCATTCCTTTATTAACTATTGATTCGACCCGATTATTTGAGTTGCTTATACTGCTTGCCGGGTGCGCAATACAGTTTTTGCTTTAGGCCTTTGTCTTCTTATCAGGGAAGTCGGCCGGTCAGCTTGTGCGGTAGCAGCAGGTTATCCGTACAGTCAGCGGAAACCACAACAGGCTCTTATATAACTGGATAGCACGGAGAATTCGAAATAGAGTGTAGGTGTTTATCTGTTAAAGAAGGCTATCTCAGAGAGAAGTGATTTCCCCGGACTGGTTGAGTTAGTCGTATAAAAATGCAATTTAGACCATTCAGACAAATTGCCCTATTCGATTGTCATGTATTGCTAGCATGTATGATAAGGCCACTTGTTTCAGCGTTGGACACGAACACACTAGGGATCACGACTGAACCTATCGCAGAAATGCCGTGCAGGGTATGCAATTCATAATTCCTTACAGAAGGCTGTTTTTTTTATCTCCACCAAATCAATAACCGATGCACATGACTACTTCCTTTTTTCCATTACTCAGATGTCTTGATAGCACTCTGCAGATTTTGAAATCATTCACTTTACGATCAAATAACCAACCACGGCAAGGCGCCATAATGAGTAAGCCATGGACACTGATCATAACTGCCGCAATTCACATGAGTTCTAGTTAACTTTCAGCGTTTCTACTTAGTTGTATTCTAACTGTGATCGAAAGTTTATGCTAGTGTCTTTGTGGTATGTTTCGTCTCGTTTTGCTCAAACAGATTGCATGATTACTGCTGTAGGGTAAACGTGTGGTTCGCGATGGCTAGTTCTTCCTTATGAGTTGCGAAAAGTAAGCGTTGATAGACTCTTGGATCTGGATTGCAAAACACATGCATCGTGGGTATTTGCATGCCGTTAATACGTACATTTAGGAAAAGACCAAGATAGATAACAGGTGTCTAACATCAGTTAGGTAGTTGCATGCTGTTGTCATGGTAGCCGAAAGGGAATAGAACCAAAGGGAGCGGACGACGAAGGATGCACGGGCTAAAACTATTCTAATAGTGCTAAACATAACGCAGAAAGGCAGAATGAAAGGAACCAAAATTAGCTGTCTGAGCAAACACAGCGCAAATACCGGCGTTTTAAAGTGTTCAAGGGTGCCTTAGAAATAGTACTGCTTTGTTTAGCGCCTTATTCGGAGAACCGAAGTGTGCATAGAATGGGAGGCACACTTCTCGCTTAGCATATAGCCAGTACGTTTACCTTTGAGGAGGCGTAGAAGTTTGCCACTTCCTTTTGCTCAACTTATTTCATGTTGTCAAAGGGGTGGACTCGCTTGGGATTATCACTGCTCCCAATCCGAAAGATATTTAGTGTTACTGATGAGTAGTAGTGAGAATGTTGGTTTACTTCAGCTAATCCATTATTTCCACTCCCAAGCAGCAGGCTTAGGCTAGTCTGGAAAAGCACCAGACGACGACGTTTCGGCATTCTGGGCTTCGTCAGTGGTGCGCCTCCCAGCGGACCCCTGCCTGGTTCCGCCCCCATGACTTTAGGATGTCTGCAGCTAATGCCACTTCGCCAGAGGTGACAGCCACGAACTGCGTGATTGACAGTTGTCTATGATGTAGCCTGGCTCATCTTCCACTGCTATGCCAGTTACGTACTGTGTCGAGGACAGTGGCTAGCCTCACGAGCTAGGAATTTCCACATAGCGCCTATGTACGGCATAGGACTTAGAAGCTATACGGACAAATCATATATTACTGAGGAGGGTTATTGAGGATTTTGGTATAATTCAGCTAATTAATCTTCGTTACTCTCAATCAGTAGGCTTACGCTAGTCTGGAAAAGCACCAGACGCCGGGATATATCATAGTCAACTGTCAATTAGGCAGGTCCGAGGCTGTCACCAATGGCAACGTGGCACTAGCTGTTGGCTTCCTGAAGTAATGGGAGCAGAACCCGGCAGAGCTCCAATAGTAGGCGCACCAATGAGGAGACCCAGAAGGTCAAAACATCAACGTAGCTGACCGCGACAAGTCATTCTTCCGTTATTTTCTACGGTGTATGAAAGACAGGTCAGTGCATCACATGAGTGGGAAATATGTAACATCGGTACTTATATGTTTTTAGTAGTAACTTAGTGTCTCATACATATGTCACCCTATTTTACTCAGCGGCAATGGGTGTCTAAGCTCCGGTGTCTGTAGCGTAGACACGTAGCTCACAACTAGACTCCTTAACAATGGCTTGTGGTGTCTGATGTTTTAGGGTGATTTGTCAAAATAGGTGCGTGAATTACAAATCAATTTTATTCCTGATGCATATTTTGAACTCGCTGAACAGTGATGGAACGAAGGAATATCAAAGTATACAATTGGTTTTGTTAAGGATAATTTCTCTCTGCTTCACGGTTTACTGCCACCAGCGAACTTCTGTCGGAGAGCCATAATGGCAGGAGAAATGGTGGACACTGACCCAGATCGTCTAACTGTCTTGGTTGCAGGAGTAGTTACCCGTTCCGGTTCCGTTTCATTCTGTGTGACGCTTTTAGACGCGTCACTTTGTTTGGGTTGGTCGTTCTCATTTTTATTTTCCTTTGAACTGGATTTTGGTAGCATTTTTTGCCCATTTGGCGATTTCGGCGATTTGTCACGCGTTTTGGATTTGCCATCCCTTTCGTACTTCTTATTCGGTGCTTTTAGCGATTCCCCTTCCTTACCAGTTTCATTAAGTGTGGTCTTACTGCCTGATTTGGAACCGGGTGATGACCATTTTGCAAAGCGATCCGCGATTGATGGTTTCGCTTGTTCACTTATAACGGAACTTGTAACGGAAATGCTGGCAGTGGTGGGAGGTGGCTGGGAAGAACCTTTTCTGACCCTCTGCACTCCGGGTGATCCGACGCGCGATGAGTTGTCGGTGCTGCTAGTAGCATTTGTTGATGAAACAGGTTGGCGATCGCTTCCACTCTCAATGTCCCTTCCACTACGTTTAGATTCGGCTGCAGCCTGTGTGACAGCAACCTTTACACTGGGTGGCAAAGGAGGCACGTCCTCAAAGAATCGCTTTCTGGCTGGAGATATTGCACTTCTCATGGGGGGTTTGCCTATAAAAGCAATTATGAAAAGATTGAATACCACCGACGATCATAACTATACGGACCAAAGCAGCGAATGAGCTACCACCATAAAACAATTCAACCAAATAATAGAACAGCCATTCAGAGAATAACTTTTGCATGGTTGCTCGTAGATGTAAGTATTTCCAAGAAGTCCAACTATCAAGCTGTAATACATTTTAAGCGCCTAGCAACCTGCTTGATATCACTAAGATTTATACGGCTTCAACCACTACTTTGCGGCAACACCCCAGTTAATCTTCGCTGATGCCCATAGACACCCAATGTTTTACAAAAATAGGCATCAACAACGTCCTAGTAGAGATTATCGTTATACTTACCCTAATTAGGTCAATGTTAGGGTTGCCATAACGTAGGATTGATCTAGAGTAAATGAATGAGGCTAGGCAACGCTGAGCAATAACATCTAACGAAGAAAAACGCATTCCTACATAGAACTGCTTTTGATAAGGGAGCAGTAACTGGTAGTAAGCGACGGTTTATACCGGTTGGAAAAGCAAGTGTTTGACAAATTCCTTGAATGGCTATGGCAAGAAATACAAGAGGGAGAGAGTGTTAAAATGTGACGCTCGTGTTGTTGAGCTCATTAAGATTTTTGCCGTACATGCCGGTACCAGAGAGAGGCCCCAAACCCGTATCCCTCGTAAACTACGGGGAGCTGCGGATTGTCGTTGGATTGAAGCAATCATCTCCGGATAAAGATGAAGTGCTCTCTGTGTTTCCGGAAAGGTGTTGCTATATGGTTTCTCGTTCTGGGAATCCGAAAGTGTGTGACTTGTTGTAACACGTCGGGGAAGCGAAGTCGAGAGCAGATTCTAACAAAACTGTGGCCAAGAACACCAGACCACAATGGGTGGCAGCTGCCAATGATTGGAGTAATCGGTTAAGATATATCCCAATCCATCTCCCGCATTTATGAATATAACGGTTGATTATAGGATAGAAGTTGCACCTCGAACATTGCAACCCAAGGATAAGCGTCTAATGAAATCTAGATTTTTAAGACTGTTTGGGTTGGTGACTTACTGTGAACCAACGGCTAGTGAGCATACACGGCTTATGTGTGATATTTGTCAACTGATCGATCCTGCTTTTACAGCTTTGCGAAATTTGATGCAACGCAGCCTAAATATGCAGGGTACTTTCAATACAGTAAGTGAATACATAAGGATGGGCAATTTACTGTACCCGAATGTAAGCCCAGCGGTCCCATTCAAAAACCTAAGGTTCCGTCTTAAATTTGAATGGAATATTGGTGTTTGAAGCTATGATAAAGCAAACCGCATTGCGCCATGTTTGAGCTTACTTTGCTTGATCACTCGTCAGTTGCTCACACATTCTATTGTGTGTTAAATTGCACTATTGGGGACAGCAAACGCATTCATTTGCCAAGGTGACGCAACAGTACTTCCTTTGGTTTATTAAGATACGTCGTACTACCCATCCTCCGGCTTTGAACCTGGTCCGGCAGTGAGTGCAATGCTTTCAAGGCACGTGGGTCTGTCAGTTCGAAAGAACGAAACACAAAATATCTTCTTATGTCTGTGTACGGGTTATTAGCGCGGGTACGCCTGTTCGCCTCACCCAATAAATTTGTACCACACTCGAGTAACTGCAAACATGTCCACTGTCTCCTGACTCTTGTTGAACGGCTTCTAGTTGGACTGAGCCCTATTTATGCAGAATATCGACGCATACACCACATTGACAGAATCAGAATAAAATGTTTTAACTGCAGTGAACACTTTCAACCATCGAGAGCTATTCCGTCTGATAGGGAAATCGGGCGGTAGGAGACGTGTTAGTGGCGAGACTATACGCGAAGAGATTGGACAAACTGTTTACAGCCTGTCAAAGCGCTTGCAGCGTTCGGTCTTAAACAATTAGAAAATTTTAATCAGCTAGTTACTAGCTTCTCTATCGGCCACTAATCGCTGTTCTCCTTGAGGCATCCTCCTGGACCCGCCCTCATTCGCAGAAGTCGAACGTGAAAGCTGAATGCTGAAAGTGAAGAAGACCGCAGAACAGAGTAATTCTTCCAGTCCTCTTCAAATTAGGGGTCCTGCTCTTCCGGAGTATTTGTGCAAATGACTAAGGAATCTGTGGGAGCAGGAGACTGTCATAACAGACTGGTGCGGCTTCGTTGTTATCCCAATTTTCAAAGGGAACTCAAGTTTGGAATGCGACAATCATAGAGGAATCAGTCTGATCACGAATGCCTCAAAGTCAGATGCCTCTGTCGTACTTCATAAACTGATTAGGAACCGTGAAAGACAGATTCCTGTGGGGCAAACCCGGTTTCCTCCTAGTCGTGGCTGTTTAAATAACATCCTCACATTATGTCGATTTCTGGACCACCGCCATATTTATTTGCGACCCAATGTATTCGTGTTCCTCAACACCATAGGCGCGTTGGATTCGGTTGCTCGATGTGCTATTTTGAACTGTCTACTCAGGAAAGACGTGCCCGAAATATACGTACGCATTATCAGAGCGCTTTATAAGCGCGGTTCGGGTAGTGTGAGGGCTCACGGTAAGCTGTCGCCGCCCTTCAACTTCTCCGGCAGTGTGAGACGAGGATGTCTGCTATCACCTTTCCTTTTCAATTTCACCATCGATGAAGTCATGGGAATGGCGTTCACTAGACACGACCTACAAAGTGTGGAGCTGCTCCCAGGTGATCTACTTCTTAACTTGGAGTATGCCGACAACATTGCCTTAATCTGTGAGAGTTCCCTTACGTGCCAAGTTGCACTGGATAAATTATCTCTGGCTGTTAGTCATTTCGGGTTATGCTTTTCTCCCCCCCCAAATGCAAAACCCTCCTTTAAGATTGACACACACCCACACCTGCGATAATCCCTAGTGGTGATCTGCTAGCATTCGTTCAGAGGTTTAAGTACTTAGGCAGCGTCAGTGTAATAGAGGATGAGGTAACGAACTGTATAACGAAAGCTCGAAGTGCTTTTGCCAATCTCCGCCACCTATACCGTCTGCGCGACATTACTGTCGTCCTGAAGGGCAGAGCTTACAATGAAGCCGTCTGTTCAACCCTCTTGTGCGGTTTCTTACCCTAGCCCATGAAGTCGACAAAAATAAATAGGTTAGTTAAGTTTGATCATTGCTTCTTTTGCAGCGCAGCTCATACCTGATAGGAACACTGCGTGAGCATGGAGTGTGTTGGGTCTCGTGTATCTAGTGCAAGAATAGCGGCACCGCTGTATCACGCATCAGGCTCCGATGGTTTGGAGACGTTTTGCGCATGTCAGCACACCGACTCGTTCGTCGTGCGTTGTTTGCGCGACCAGTGTACGGATGGACGAACAGGAGGGGAGGTCAAACGACGACTTTGTCAAGAAATATAGAGACAATCATTTCGAAGTTGGCGTCGGTTGGTGTCTCCCGAATGTCCGGCTGGGGTCCTAAGGTCGATGAATACGTTTGGTTGGGTGCACAAGTTGTTGTGCTAACAACTCGACCTCAGTAGCGTTTGTGTTATGAGTTTCTCTTTCCATCACATCCCGCTTATCTCCGCCCTCTAATCACGATCCCACTTTCGAAGCATAGTATGTTATTATGCTGTATATCACTTGTTGGCTTTCTGTACCCTATTCTGATTTTATCTCTTTTTCAGATATCTTGTCTTTTCCCATTTCTGCACAACAGTTGAAGTGTGTAATGACGAGGATGATGCCCGAAAACCCGAAGCATAGTCAAAGACTACACCTATTACGACTGCGATGGTAGAGGAGATATGTACGCTACTGCTAGCCGGTTTTACCATCGATCCTAAGGGCTCCCTCATAACGGCCTCTAGAAACTAGTAACAATTGGTGGCTTCACAGCGCTTTCAAAATGAAGGGTTACTGTCCACCAGTGCGATCAAGTGTCCGTAGCCGTGGCGCAGGACCGTCTAAAGCACACATAAGGAGGTTTTAAATTGCCAGAAGAAATAGTCACAAGCAACAAACAACAGCTGTACAGTTACTTGAGAGTTGGGCGCATCAGATTCCAAATCAGATAGTCCTCCAGATTCCTGGAAATGTACTAGGATGCCGTTTTAACCTGTTGAGCATCATCAGTAACACTTCCATCGGATCCACCTGGATTCGAACCCACGACCACCAGGTGCTTGCAATGCCAGTCAGCAGCTTATGACACCCGGGCACAGTGGACAGGTTCAGATAGTCATGATTTACAAGCTAACTGCGGTATAGCGTTTATTATACTCCACTGCAATGCACGTTACGAATGTTGTAGAAGGCACTGTTGGTCCCGAAAGACTCGACGTCCACTGACAGTAGCTATGAACGACATAGCGTTTAGGAATTGCTAGGTTGAAACTGCAGGCTAGTGTTTTTCCGCGCATGTGGAGGATTAGCTGATTTGGAAGCTAGTGCGGCGAACTTTCAACTAATTACCTCAAAACTCCCCTACTCATGAGTGGAACAATGAGATAGTTGTAATTTCATCATTTTCTCTTGAGTCATAACAAAAAAAGCTTCTCCACTTTACATAGTCATACAAGGAGTAGAGCTGATTGATCGACCTCCAGAAGATACTGTACAGATGTTAGGTTAAAAGGGATAGAGAGAAGCCTCGGGGTCCCAACCCGCTAATTTCTTAGGTAACCTGTTATTATTGAACCACTGGAAACGCTTGCCGAACAGTTGATCGAAGGGCAGCCGTACATCTGTGGGGCGACTTATGAGCTTGAGAGTGTATATCGTTTCCCCTGAGCATTCACCTTATGGAGATAAATTCAGTGAATTCGAGTGCTCGTGTGATGACAGTTAAAGGTTGTTATCAAGTCCAGTAATCCTTATTACACTTGACCGTGTCACTAATTGAGTTAACACAGCCAAACGACCAGCACCCGACAACTGTACAAGGCTACCGAGGCGGGCCCTCATTTACACCAAATTGTGCACGAAGACAAATCATGTTTTACTGTTCCGCGACGTATACAATGCTTCTCCCATCCAGTGAAGTCATATGCTCTCTAGCACCCCAAACCAAACATATTTCTAAAGAAATATGTGGTGTGAGCGTTTTCAACATTGCCTGGTAACAAGCAAAAAAAAACTTTAAAATTCCATGATCAATCTTTTCTGGACCTATGGTGCCTATCTTTTGTTAAAACTAAACAGGAGCTCATCAGATCAAGATTTACTAGGGGTCTTACCTTCGTTGATCTATGATAGTCGAAGACGACCGTTTGAAGTATTCCTATTGCTAAAGTGCCGCAGTGAGTAGGGAGGAACTAAGTGCGAAAACTAAGCAGGCATTCACTAAGATGACAGTAGAGATACTAGCTGTTAGATAAAGTGAAATGAGCTTGTGAGTACAACTGCAATCTGACCGTCCTCGGGGCCACACGGCTGGTGCTTATGCGATAAAGCCGGATTCTTCAACAATCCAAAATACCACCATTTTGGAGTTTTATCAAATTAACTATCCGAATTCTTCTTCGTTTGGTAGTTGGTTCTGCACAATTTATACCTAGTTTCAGATGATTCGGATACAGAATACTAGAACCAAGATTCAAGTAATCGGAATCCCCTCCTAAAAGTAGCTGGTCACCTAGGATACAGTAGGGTCGCGCTCCTCTAGATAGAAATATCAAACAGCACTTTACATTGCCCACTACCGGAATCGTAACTGCTTTGTATTCCTTTTATTATACTTTAAAGCATATCCGATAATCAATTAAAAGCACTGCGGTACTCACCAGCCAAGATGTACACTGACCGTTCCACAGTAGATTCTGCTACGCAGCAACCGACTATCGTCGTTATTCCGCTCTAGTTGGAAGTATTCTATTACCGTTGGGAGGTACGGCAGTGTAAAGATTACGCCAAGTCTATTTGATTGCGAACGGGAACGTTAACTGGAATTCATACCCCTATTCTGATCTTTAGGCCCAGAACAAGGTTAATTTTTATGTGTGCACACACATCATGCAACTCAAGAGCTAGGCTTATCGCAGTGTAGAGTGGGAATGGAATATTTAATTATATGCCTGGAGAATTAGAGCATAAATAGCTCAGATTCTATAGAAACGTCGATGCATCACAACAACAGGGGGAAAATGTAGATGCGTTAGCTTTTACTAAATCCAGAATTGTGATAAGTAGTGTTGACGGTCGACTTTTAACCATTAGAATCTGTTATCGTTGTCTTATAAACTCACATAACTAGTAGAGAAAGAAGTGGAATGAATAGCCTATAAAATGAGATTGAATCGCAAGATAACACTGGATCAATGCAGAATTCTTGTGCTCATTTACTTTTTCAACATCATTAGGATTTATCTCGTGGGTTCAATCTTAACAAAGCACTTGTTTCCTCGATTACACCGCTTGTGTTCACGGCCATCCGGAGTTGACAGTCGAATGATGGGCCTTAAGGAAAAAGTCCAATATATGCTGGAGCACCGTCACAACTTCAAAGCAACCTACGTTCTGCTCGTAAACCCAAACCACACTGATCTTAACGTACCGAGAATATGGTACAAGGGTACAGAGGAAAAACTGACACAAATCCTTCCCTTGCCCTCTAGCATGGCAACAGAAAAGAACGCACAATGCCAGTGGGACGCTCACATTTTCCCGAATACTACCAAATGTTGAATATGTTTTCCTTCACCACCTGTCTCTTGGGACATGAGAATGGACTGAAGGTTGGAAATATTGTGAGAGTTGTTTTGTACTATCAACCTACTTTGCTTCTCCTTGTGTATTGGGTAGGGTGACTCATCTAAGAGGTTAAATGTTGATGCTCACCTGGAAGAGTAAAAGCGTGTTGAGTGTAGTCGATTATGCTGGAGAGGCTGTCATGCGAGCCTTGTTGGGAAGTTGGACGTACAAGGAATCCGGGGGTGGGATCTGGGTAATTTGAGAGCTAAAGTTGGGAGGAGCATGAAAGCGAACTGTTAAAACAAATTGTTCGTAAATTCAGAGCATTCGGAGCATTTCAGAGCATTCAGAGAATCCGGTGAGCATTGGAAAAGCTTCAATAATCAATTTAATGACGGGATGACACAAATATGTAAAAATGCATGTTGTGTCAAGCATGATTCGTTCTATAGGAATTCGAACCTACTTTGTATGAAGCAGCATACTGCTTTCTACTGGCCCTCTCAGCTATTACTATAACATACTAAGATACGCATACTTAGGAAATCGCTGTTACTTAGCTCCTATGTGATACGTTCGGAACTTAGTATCTTATGTCCAAATTTCGGGACCTGCCGTTCATACATTGGTCGAATCAAGCGAAGGAAAAATACACACGAACAAATCTCTAGTTTGTAAAGCTAATTTACCACTCTTATCCAAAAGGATTACCTAAGATTAACCTTTTAAGCGCTCAGGCCAAAACATGCTTAGAAAACGTAAATTTTTCCAGCAGTATTTCCAAATATATGCTTCAGTTTACATACATTCACTACGAAGCAGTGAGTTTAAATTGCCTCCACATAAGATTAGATTAGGATAAGATCATATATATATATATATATATATATGTATATATATGCGCATTAGAGCCTGCGAAAACCATGAAACGGTAATAATAAATACAGAGACCACAAAAAAGAATAAGGTTACAAAAAAGATTTTGTTTTGTCTCTTTCTTTTTTGTTTTTCTTTTCACACGCCGTTGTATCTTTTTTGGTTGTTGGTTGTTTGCGATGTAAATCAAGCAAATCAAGAAAAACCTTTGTAAACATTTTCCACTGGGCCCGGTTCTGCGCCATCTCCGAAAGTGTTTCCAGCCAGTGGTGTTCTTCATCTTTGATCCACCAGCCCGGAAGAGGCACGGGATCTACGAGAGCTAAACTGGAAGTCAGCACTTTAATCGTTTGTCGCCGCGTGTTAGGCTGACCACCGCGCGATTTCTTCTATCCTGGTCCTTTGCGAGCGAAGAGAGCGCGTCGGTGCAGCCATTCGCATGGCATGTGTAAAACGTGGCCCATCCATCTTAGTTGGCGCAGCGGTACCAGTCTGTCAAGTGGAAGTCCCATGTTACTCAAGGCGCGACGTCTAACATTATCGTTGCGCACGTGGTTCATCCAGCACACTCGAGCTATTCTCCGCAGACATCCATTGTCAAAGGCCGAAATAAGACGCAAGTCATTCACACGAATCGGCCAGAACTCACTCCCATAGAGCAGCACCGCACGAACGCAGCCATTGTAGACCCTGCCCTTTACCAATAGTGAAACGTCACGGCGTCGCCACAGACGCCTCAAGTTGGCGAACGCCGAACGGGATTTTTCAATGCAGAAGAAAATCTCTTTTCCAATGCTGCCATTAGCAGCAACACAGCTCCCCAGGTAAACAAAGTTGTCCACTTGTTCAAGCTGCGTACATTGAAGAGTGAGCACTGGGGCAGGTGGATGCCAATCCAAGACCAGGACTTGGTATTTTGTAGGGGGCAAAGGTCATTCCCTCTTTTGATGCTTCAATCGCCAAGCTGTTTGGAATGGCTTGTGTGCTCTGTGCGTCATCACCAAACAAGGCAATATCATCAGCATAATCTAAATCGGTCACGCCGTTGTCAGAAAAAATCTCTTCACCTGGACCCTGAAAGCCACCGAGAGTGTTTAGAAGGACATCCTCGATCGCAAAATTGAAGATAAACGGAGACATGGGGCAACCCTGTCGTACACCGCTAGTGACGGCAAAAAGGTGAAGAGAGCTTACCATAAGCCCTTACATTACATGAGACATTGCAATATAATGCTCGAAGGATGGCGATATACTTTCCGGGTACTCCATTCTTTTGTAAGCAATGACATAAAGCTGGCCGATCCACGGAGTCGAGCGCTACTCGGATGTCCATAAAAACAACGATAGTGGGCTGGCGGTAAAGATGACGCGTTTTAAGGAGTTGGCGGAGCGTAACCTAGTGGTCTATACACCCTCGACCTGGGCGGAAACCAGCCTGTTCTTCCCGGAAGTGCAATTCTCGAATCGGGGTTAGTCTGCGGAGTAGTATGGATGTTAACAGCTTGGAGTCAACGGACATTAGACTGATTCCTCGGTGGTTAGCGAATAGGGTAGAGGCATCTTTCGTGAAGATCGGGACGATAATTGACTCGCGCCAAGCGGATGGAACTGTTTCTTCACACAAGATCTTAGAGAACAGAGCTGTTAGCTGGTTGAAAATTACTTCGCTCCAGAACTTGAACACCTCTGAAAGAAGTCCGTCTGGGCCAGCAGGCTTGAATCGCTTTAAGTGTTGGAGCTCAAGCCAGACCTCAGCTTCAGTGGGTGGTTCTAATGAGACGACCCAAGGCGCGCAACTGGGTATACTCAATAGGTTCGCCAGCGGAGGAGGCCAGCTGAATTGACTGCAGAAGTGTTCAGCCCAGCGATCCATACGCCTGTGTAAATTGCTTATGCGCTTTCCGTCAACCTCGCAAATGACCTCACTGACACCAGTTATTTTGTGACTACTTGCCTGAATGACTTGGAAGAGCTTGCGAACGTTTCCAGAGAGGGCTGCCCTTTCCATCTCTGAGGCGCGTTTGGACCACAAAGTTTCGCGATCAGCAAGCCGGCTTTGCTTAAGTTGTTGGCTGAGAATGCGATGAAATGCACCGCTATTTGAATCGGTCAGAAGAGCTCTACGACGATCAAACAATTCCAGTGAGTGTGCGAAAATCCAGCCCCTCAGAGGATGCCTTGTGATTCCGCACATTGAATGACTAGAAGTTAGCATCGTTTCACGCATGAAACTCCGATTATTTTCAATGTCTCGAGGTGGAGCACCAATGAATGCATGCGATGAGGAAGTTTGATAAGTTGATCGAGTAGAGAGATCGGCCAACTTGTTGATGTCGAGCGTATGGAGCTTTTGTTTTGAGGAGCAACCGAAGCGCATGCAGATGTCCGCGCAGACCAAACCATGATCTGAATCGAGGTAGGTAGACTAAATGGATCTACAACCCCCGACGCTGCCTCGCCAGATAAAGCTGATTGCAATGGGATCTATTTGTGATTACGCTTGCGTTGGTGAAGGAGAACGCCAGGTGGCTGCACGTCTTCTGGTATGCCTAAAGTTCGTACTTGAGAGCAAGAGACTGTGGTCTTCGCATAACGTAAAAGTCTATCTCCGTTGTCAGAACGTCTCTCATCAAGCGCGTGACTGCCACCAAGATGACGTTCGCACGGAAACAGGCGACCTACTTGTGCATTGAGATCTACGGCACGGACGATGACACCTGAATTTTAGGCCTTGTTCAAAAGATTGTGGAGACCACGATAAACGTCATCCTCAACCAAAGCACAGCTGCAGTCGGCGGTGGTCGCGCGGCAGCGAAGCGCCGTTACAGCGTACATCTACGCTGATAATAATAATAATAATAATAATAATAATGGAGCGTAGGCAGCGACGACAAACAAATAGCGTTTTTCTTCACGATGTTGATTCTACATGAGCCTTGAAGCCGAACCGCACACAGCCGGCTGTCGGTTGGAAACTAGTCGAGTAATCCAGCCTCCGCTTTGTCACTCAATGGGATGCCGACACCAGCGGGGCCGAATGCTGCTGCTTCCATGTCACTAGACATACGTAAGTAATATGTGATCTCAAGAGAAGTTGGGGACGAGAACTTAACCACGGTGCTGGGATCCTGCAATCGAGTCTCTGAAAGGCAACAAACATCGATGGCTAGGGACTCTAAAGTGCACGCCAGGCCAGCCTGTTGTCCAAGCTGTAGGAGGGTCCGAACATTGAACACTGCCAGACGGAATGAATTACGGGGTTGGAGGATAGCTGATGGCCGGATGATTTGGATATCAGCGAGACGGGCATTGGAAGTAGATTCAAAGGGTTGTAGATTACCAACAAGAGAAAAGTTGGCGTGTGATGGAGAAGCACGAGTAGCAGCAGAAGTAAGCGACGTAGTAGTAATTGCGATTGCCCAAGCCGAAGTAGAGAGTTGTCTTAGGGAACTCCAACTTGATCCTTTGGCTCAATAGCCTACCCGCAACGCAGCGGAGCGAAGTCAGGGATGCGCAACCTTTGGGAGCCGATGACCGATTGCTCGGTTCATACGCCTTTCCTTTGGTGAGTAACCAAACAGGGGCCCAATGTTCCCCACGGTTTCAGCAGCAAGGTGTTGTTACGTTTTCGCTGTTGGTGTTAAAAAAGCGTTCAACAATTGCGTTTGAAATGCTTTGGGATATTGTAGCTCAGGAGGCTTGCTCAGTTGTTGTGGAATTCTCCGAGCTGGGCAACTTGGTTGCAGACGTTTCGCCATCATTCGAGGTGGCATCTTCAGTGCGGGATTGATAGCAGTTAAGTAGCAGTAGCTGGTAGAAAGCAAACCCAAAAATGGATGATGATGCTTGGGTTTGCTTTATACCAGCTACTGCTACTTAACTGCTGTCAATCCCGCACTGAAGATGCCACCTCGAATGGTGGCGAAACGTTTAAGAACCAAGTTGCCCAGCTCGGAGAATTCCACAACAACTGAACAACTACGTTTCTGTCAAAGCCATTACCTCAAATTTGGTAGTTCACATAAGCAAACATGCTCATAACACACCTTTATAACTGTCGGGAGCTTTAACGAAATGAGGCATATTCTCTTTGAAAGACTTTAGAACGTGAGATGTCTGTAGGCGACGCAAGATTAACCTCCGTCCTTTGAATGATCGGCGCAACATAGCACAATCTATGTGAATTCATTCCATGTTACTGATAGTAAATAATTCGAAGCTTTATCACAATAGAACAGCATACAACGCCGTTAGGTTCATTCCCCGCTCCAAACTTTACTCGCATATAATATGAATTCTGCCTGTAAAAAACTACTTACCTTACGAACTGAAACGTCGGGTGAGACAGAACGACCACATCGATTAGCTGTTATCAGGCTGTAGCTACTTCCGCCACCAATACCGGCTCCAGTCGCTAAGCTCAAGGCGCTTCCGCGCAAAGGTCCACTCAGTCCGCTTATTCCAAGACTGCTTTCTCTGTAGTGTGGTCCATACGAAGTGCCTGTGGTGGAGGAGTTGGAGGCAAGTGCCGAGCGTCCATTTCCCCACTCCATCGATGTAGACCTCTGAGTATGACCACGAATTCCAGATAGAGGAGTGATAGCCGATGAAGAAAATAGGCCGTTTCTTGTAAGACTTGTAGCCGGACTCGCAGGAACGCTCCCAGGGCCAGCAGAAGCGTCAAAGTTGTACAACGAATCTACCATCCTGAAATCGGAAAATGAAAACTGGTACGCATACGTTTAAAATTCACCTTCAGTGCGCAGGAATAACGTTCACACATGCAGTGCACATGAGTGTGTAATTGTAGCATATCCCTGCGCACCCGGGTTTATGATCATAAAAGAAGTTCAGTCTGGATGCGATGGGACCATGCTGGTGAGATGCGACTAGGAAGTGGTAGAACGGCAACAAACGCTTTAATGAATTAGCATGCAGTAGTCAAGAGAAACACTTCTATTAGAATGGTCGCTTCAGCAACTAGTTCGGTGGTTCAGATATAAAACTGGGTGTTGCCCACGCGAAAACACTGCACTGCAATGACGCGTTTCGATGGTGGGTATGAGAGTAGTGCGTACCCTAACAGACGGTGTTTGTTTGTCTCTCTGGATGACTAGATAATAAGTAGGAATTACTAACGAGTATCAAAACGAAATAAACGAAACCAAGTAGTGTTTCTCGGACACTATTTTTCAGAAGATTTAAAGAAGCAGTGTGATCCTGAACCCACACTGGGTCGAAGACACTAGTCTGCATCATAGGATATCAAGAGACTGGTGGATGTAGATCAAAGAATAGATGCCTGCGATGACTAAAGGAGTCATAAAGATACTCAACCAGAAGACAACATTAGAGTCGTGGTAGAATTTTGCTGAGTTAGAAAAAACCTTGTATGTACTGCTATACGGGTGACTCGAATTCAATCCGTCTTTGGACGCAATGTGTCCTTCTGCTAGCTGATTTGTTTGAAATACGCCTACACTGGCTGATATCAGTCCTTCTGCAAGGATCATCCATTGTCTGGGATAAAGTACAATCTCACCGGAGCCTCAAATGAGTAAACAATGGTGAGTCAATGGTGCAGCCGAAGCTTCAAGTTGTGTCATGTGACGTGCGCACCTGCTCCCTCACTGGTTGTGTGGGACTGGACTGTCCAATTCTGGCAGCCGATCTAGACTTTCTGGGACATTAACACTCCTAGGTGAGTATACCCGTTAGTTTTCACACTGTGTATATTTCACCGGTAGCTGCTCTGTAACATATTTTCGCACCAAATCGTTGAGTGTGATTAGGAGCGTGAAAGAAACCAGTTTACTTGCACCGGAATTGCACAGAAAGAAGTAGATTTGACATCAAATATTATTTGATTCACACCTCAACTAGTTTCTAGGACGATACGTTAGCTTTTTAAGTACCAAAGCATCTTATTTTCTGTCGAGCTGTTCAGCTATTATGCTAGGGTCAGTTAACGGTCAAGTTTAAATCGCCCAAAAGAATGCGTTTCAACGATCAAGGTTATGCAATTTGAGTACTTCGTTTCGGAAAGCCGTGCTCGTAATTGACAAGTATGATATATTGTAGGTGAATTTGCTGAAATACCCTGTATCATTGGTTTTCGGTAACGAAAATACCTCCTTATACGTGTGGTTTGGCACCAGATTCCACTAACAAGTGGAGCGGATAGGAGAAAAGCGAATGGTAGCATAACTTAAAAAGTGTCAATTACACATTTATGAGCAACCAAGTTATGCTGAGAAAGTCGAGGTCCATCTCAAGCTTTGAAAGCACCATGAGTAGCATGTTCCCTCGGTGTCGTCTGTTCGTAGCGACTGGTGAGTGGATTTGAGGCGGTGATCGTATGGACACTTTCAAAACGGGGGATAAATGACAAAATTTCTGAGATGGCAGAGGAGACTCAATTTGATTGATGCATGGGAGAATAAACGCTTCACTGGATGAGGGGGGCCATGAGGGTGAATGGAAGGCTACTACAGCACTCAACTGAGGCATACAGCATAGGAAGCAGCTTACCCTGCTGAATCACCGCTGTCTCTAATCGCAGTAATAAATAACATGCTGACAGTGTGAACAAAAACTATATAGCAAATCTAAACTATATGGCACACAGAGAACCAGCATTTCCTATCTCTTGGGTAAAGCAAAATTGCCGACTACAGAAATTGGTCTTAATAATGGGGTCCGTGGAGTGAAGGTAGGGTTCATTCGGGTTTATTTCGTCGTTCCAAGGAAAGATAATTCGAGCGGACTCTTACTGGTTTAACGATTTGGCAATCCCAGTTCGATGATAGAACGGAACGCATTACAGAATAAAGGCACTTCTTCAATCTAACACTAATGAAGCAGTCGGAGAATGGGAAGTTTGATACAACTTCATCAAAGTTATATGCATTTCTATGGCAGCTTAAAGTTTCTAGAAAAATGGCAATAAGTCATATATGCATCATAAACTCACGGAGATGTGTACGAACGGGCACACGCCTGACACAAATAATTTACTTCGCTAGTAAACGGTTACTCAGCCCGAACTCAACATAGACGAGAATCTAACTAAGCTGTAGAGACACCTGTTTATTGCAATTTAAAGGCATTCCTGTCCCGACATTATTTTACTGTGTTGCCATAAAGTAATGAATCACTAGAAACAGAGAGAGACAAGCTGTTATCCACCGGTTTTCCGTTGTAGTCCACAAATCGTCTCCGTAACGCCGCAAACCAACAGTCGGAGAGAACAGTGTCATAGAAACCAGCCTGCTCTAAATAGTTGCTTAATGATAGAAAAGTGAAAGATTCAGTGCGATATGGACAAGAGCATCACTGAGCAGTGTTCACAGCTCGATGGAGTTTTGGTCTCACATCTCACTAAAAGCACTGGTGCAAAAGCAGAGCAGGAATGGCTGATTTTAAGTATTTGCAAACAAATGTGAGGAAAGCCGTGTTGGAGATATCGACCGGTGTTTGGTAATCAGGTTTGAGGATTGCGTTCATAACTGAGAACTTTGAAGGCAACATCGGGTAAATCAAGGAGCTGAACCGCTTCACCTCTCATTAAACACTACGAATAAATCCTCAATCATCAATCCAGATGTCGCATTCATCATCCTCATGTGCAATCGTTTGCCTGAAGTCCTCAATTTCCCTAAAGCTATGTGTACCATAGCGGCGGGCAGTGCACTGAAATCATTCGTGGTGGTACCTAAAACACCTACTGGACATTAATTGACGGGTTGTAACCTATCCGATTTATTACCGAGGTATTATTAATTGCCGATATGTGTAAGAGATTACCCATTAGCAGGAGGCAATTGTCTACAGTGCTTATGCTTATGTGAACTCTTCAGGCAGAAATGTCAGAACAGAGAATTGAGCCTCGGGCGGAGAGCTTTTGGGCTGATCTCATAGTCCACTAAACGTTTATGCAACAAGACCAGTGACTGCGTTTTAAGGTTGATAAGATGGCACTAAGTGACAAAGGTACATCACAATCTACACCCCCTTGATTAGGTTGAAAACATATTTTATGCGATATTTTGCTATATGAAAGATGTTATGTCATCATACCGTTCGCATTGACCGCTTTCGAGGTCTCCAGTCGCGTGTATATTTTGTTTTATTGTTTTATATCCAAAATTCCGCTCATTTAACAGCCGATCGTTCACATACCCCATTATTCTGCCACAAGCCATACTCTGTTGGAATGAAACCCCACTTTATTCGGAACCCACAAAGGGTGTATTTTCAGACACCTGAATAGCACTTAGTACGCAGGCAATCCCACATGTTAAATCTAATCAAACTGATGCAGTGAGTACGAAAACGGGCTAAATATGGCTTGTTGTTGCCACCAGATGGCTTATTTTACTTCGTAAGTTCAATGTTTCACGGGAGGTCTAGCTTAAGCATGTTATTTAGGAAGCTAAATTTCCACTAATTGATGGGTACTCATGAAGCCCCTTTGTAGATGCCAAGCCTCGTCAGTCGACAGGGCAGACGGGTAAGACCCGGGTGCATCGTTCGCATTACACGCGACACTGCTTACATTTTGGCGGAAGCATCAAGCAGAAGCATGTAATAGTAGCATGCACATGGACGAATGAGCTAATGAACGTTCACATATCCGGTTTCATCGAAGTGAATAGACTTGAAAAGTAGTCTAATTGAGGAAATTTCAAACGTCGTTAAGCGATTGTTTAAACTTGGGAACTGAAGCCGCCATGGGTAGTATTAATCTAATCCAGTGAACGAATAGTATCATTGGCTCAGATTTCATCAGGAACTAGCAGAGCTGATATACCTTAGACATTGTTCGCCTTTAGTTCCAGCCACCTGTGGTCCAAATAAGAACCAAACCGGCCATAAGGATAGTGCTCAGATTGGTCAACAGTAAACATACCTCTACTCGGAAGGCGGGCTCACTCGTCGCAATGACTCCATTTCACTCCAAATCAGCACATTTTTTAACAGGCAGTTACTTGTTTCAATTCCGGTTCACCCAACGACATTTTAACCATAGCACTGAATTGTAGACTGCCTATGTGAAACGTAGATGATGTCTCTAACAGTAAAATGAATTTTCCCTTAGGCTAGGATATTAATACAACGGGTTGCCTCCAATTCACATGATGGGAAGAACGCCTGTTTGGTGCGACAAGAACAGCACGCAACGAATTGGTTGTCAGTTTTTTAAATCCTGATTCAGAGTCGCCTCCCAAACTGTTGCTCGATTTGAAGTACGAACGCGGACTTCTACCACACAATTGTGTGCGTTGACCTGCGGATGAGTTTCGGTGGACTTTTGCAACAGCGCTGTGAGCGCATAGATAATTGCCAACTGGCGGAGCCAGACGTTCTGATTGAGTATCAAAGTACCATAGCAACCGAGCTGAGTAAGCCCCCACTGAACACAATTTAAAAACATTGTTCGCCTATCCGCAAGACGTTATTAGCTGCAGCCATGTCCTCATGTGGCAAATCAAATTTCCAACCTGGACATCGGGTATGTAAGCAGTCTCTGGAAATTCTGGATTTTCGCCGACGTGTTCTGGCTGAAAGCGAACACGAGACTCGCACAGATCTCAGGTAAAACTGCGTGCAATCCTGGAGATAGACCGCGGAGCCTGGTGGTCTCGTCGTGCGTCAGAGATGGGAGTGGCCACTGACCTTGGTAACCATCGGAATTTATTCTGTCTGATATGGGAAACAGACAGCAGGAGACCAGGTGTTAGCAAGACAATGCGCGAGGAGAGTTGACAGCCTATACACGCCGGGTCAGCAAACTTGCAGCGTTGGGTCAAAAGCAAAGAAAGCAGTTTAATCAGCCAGAGTTACCAGCTCCTAAGTACGCCTCTGGTCCCCCTTTCATTCTGGATCGTCCCCGTGGACTCGCCCTCACCAGCAGAAGTTGAACTTGAGATCAGGCTTTTGAAAGCGAATAAGACCGCCAAAGCCGCTAGACTTAGTCCAGCCCTCTTCTACCTCAGAGGACCAGCTCTCACCGATGATTTGCACACCGGACTAGTGAAGCTGTGAGAGCAGGAAACTGTCCCAACAGACTGAAGCCGCCTCGATATTCCAATTTTCCAAAGGGATTCACGTTCGGAATGCGGCAATCATAGAGGAATCAGTGTGAAAACTGTCTTTAAGTAGCTTGCTTCTGTCGTTACTTATTGACTAGCTGGCACCAGTGCCAAACAGATTCATGTGGGGCAAGCCGGGTTTCGTCGAAGTCGTGTCTATATTAATCACAGCTTCACATTAAGTTGATTGTTGGAGCACCGCAATATTTATTGGCTACCCTCCGTAGTCGTGTTCATGGACATCCAATGTGTGCCATTTTGTACTGTCTACTCGGGAAATCCGTGCCCGAAACATTTGCCAACATTATCAGAACGCTTTACGCGGGCAGTTCGGGAAGCGTGATGGCATACGGTAACCTATCCCCGCCCTTCAATATCTCCATCGGTGTGAGACAAGGATGCCCGCTGTCACATTCCGTTAAATTCACTATAGACTGTCATAGAAACTGTGTTCAATGGATGCAACTTACAACGTTTGGAGTTGCTCCCAGATGATCGACTTCTTGACTTGGAATACTCCGACGAGATAGCTTCCAAACTCACCAAGCAGCAATGGACAAATTAGCGCCGGCTGTCAGCCATTTAGCCTAATGCTTTGCACTCTCGAAATGCACTGTCCTTCTTCAAGATTTACAAGGACACACCCCTGAGCTGAACTTTAGTGGTGATCATCTAGAATTAGTCCAGAAATTCAAGTTTTTAGGCAACGGTATTAGAGCCCGTGGGATAGTAGATGAGATAACCAACCGTATAGTAAAAGCTAAGGGCGTTTTTGCTCATCTCCGCCACTTGTGGCGCCGGCGAGATATTACACTAGTTCTGAAGCGCAGAGTTTATAATGCTGCCGACCGTTCAACTCTTCTGTATTTTTGCGTAACGTTGATCATCAGATCGACGAAAAAGGGATTAGGCATGTTGGATTATTGCTGCTTACGCAACGTATTCCACATGTGGTAGGAACACTGCGTGAGCATTGGACATGTTCGGTGTCGAGTATTTGGTATAAGAAGAGCGGGTGAATTGTTCGGCACCTTTGTATCACACATCAGTCTCCGATCGCTTGGCCATGTGTCGTGTGTACGAGCGCACGGATTCCAGTGACTGCGTTATTTGGAGGGTCAGGATGTGAATGGACGAATAGTAGCGGAGACCATGCGAGTACTTGTTCAAGAAGTATGTAGTCCCTCACTACGAAGTTGGCGTCAATCGGTGTCTCCGGGCTTAGGTCTGAAGGGCGATGTATCTGTTTAGCCGTATACACTATTGGACCGGGCGAGCAGCCGGCCTTAATGGCGTTTATGTCGTGAGTTTGTCTCTCCCTCTCGCGTTTATCTTACACCTCCACCCACCTTCTTAAACTGGATGCGTAATATATTGAGCATCATGGTATATGTTTGTTTTTTATGTTGTGTTCTACCATGGTCTGTAGCTCGCTTTTTCACACATCTTGTAATATATTGCGGTACATTGGCTGAGTTGTGTTTCTCACCTTCAGCTAAAGTGTGGAGATGATGCCAATGATTACGCTAAGTTAGTCATATAGCAAATCATCCCGATTTCACATACCAGACAGAAAGCTTGATTAATGCAGCTGGAACCGGAAGCAAACAATTGGCTGATAAACCCTCGGGAACAACTGCTTACTATCTTCGTTTAAGCCCAGGTTTTAGTCGAATAGTGAAGAGAATGACACAGTGAAGTGACTTACCTGCGCTTCAGACAAGGCACTTTGCCTCGGCTGTTTCGCCATTTGTCCATCTGTTTTACAACATCCGCAACAACATCATCCGCTTTCTCTGAATCTCCATCAACCTGAATAAAAATAAAAGAAGGATGAAATCTTTTGTCACCAATGTTTCACAGTGTATCATGAGTTGTCAGACTCGAATGTCAAAGTTAGTAAACAGCATTTTTGATTGGCCAAACCTTAGCTGAAAGACGCATCCGCAAAGCTTGCAGTAGTCTAAAGCAAAACTGTTACGGATGCCACTGAACCGAGTCATCCTAATGCATGAAATGCAGGTGGGCTTCACACTGACCTGGCCGGATGTTGTTGGTACCCAAATGTGTGTGCTAATGTATCGGCAACTGAAGTTTCACTAGGCATGATATCCCCACTGTAACCATTTAGTCTCTCTGGCCTGACGGTACGGAACAGAATAAAAGGTGGGGCAGTTTTCAGGTCAGTGTACTTGGCACATACTACTTGTACGCATAAATTCGTATACGCCATTACGTTTATGTGCTTAATAACCGAAGGATTACTATAGCTTTTGATACCTCAGTGAGGCCGCTTCTTTTACAATGCAAAGAGGAAAGCTGTACCATGGAAGAGGAAATGTGTGCTCTCGGTTTATGCAATGTGACACCCAGGTAAAGGAACGTACGTTTGTGTCATTGAATGTCGGATCGTACTGCCAACACATTGCTATCAGTGGAGATGATTGCTGCATTCGGTGCGCTACTCTCAGTTTAGAATTGTACGCAAGCAATGGAACAATGGTATATTATGGACAAAAACAGCGGATACTTAGTTAGTCACGTAGGATGGCCAGAATGAGAATCACAACATGATGAATAGAAAGGAAAGGGATAAAATGGAAATCGTTTTGCTGGACTCATCACAGCTTTCGCACAACGTATACAGAAAGAGCCAACCTAAGTTGTCTAGATTAATTCAGGTTATGCAACTTTCGTCACGTTAAATCGTCTGTCGAAACACAGGCTATATCTGGTAATGTCGGCGGGTTAGGGTAACGTCAATGTGTTTTGTAAACACACATAAAGTTGGGGCGGAAACAATGTAATTTGGTAGGGTGTGCCATGGCTTGCACACACGAAGAGGGCGAAAGTTTCGCCGACATTCTAGTCGACTGTATTACGCGGCCAACTTGAACCGACGGCCACACAAATTCGTGTTGTGACTGAGCTGTGGTAGGTGGCGGCAGACGTGGTTGAGGTTCCACAAAATCCGGTAGGCCATAATAAGGTCGCCACGTAGACGCCGGTACCGGCCACCGTATAATTTTAGGGTCCTCAGCCTAAGTTGATAAGGAAGATTGAACAAGTCTGACGTACTGAGTGGCTCATCACTTTGGAGTCTCGAAAGCTGCAGTGAGGGCTACCAGGCCTGGATTGCGTATTCCACATGAGGCCGTAGGTATGTGTTAAGCAACCGCGAACATACAGAGAGATCAGACTACCAGAATGCCTTCCGCAGCATGCCAATGTGTTGGTTTCCAATCTTTTATTCCTTCCCAGATTGTTCTGAGCAGCCCAGATCAACCCTAATTAGTACCTCAAGGTCGCGCTCATGGGTGATTGCTTGTAGGACATAATGTTCAACCTTGTATGTGATGTTCGGTTGGTGATGAATATGAACCGCCTTACACTTGAATGTATTAAACTGGAGCAGATTGTGGAGTGGTCACCCATACACTCTGTCCAGGTCTCAATGAAACAATGAAACAATACCATAATACAGATAAAAAGCCGAGGCTTGACATGTCTCCTGGGATGGTCTGTGGGAATAACCTCAGTCCAAAAAAGTCGCACATAAGTGAAAAAACGCATCTGTGGACTCACCATATTATCCACGTTAACACAATGGTATATCCATCAACCCCCAATTCGTGGGGTCGGTGAGCACAATGTTTGCCTGTGCCATTTCGTCACTCAATGAATAGTAATCAGATGAAGTAATGTAGGTGGCGTAAAGCAACGTCGATTCGTTTTTTAACAATGAGTAGCATGGTCGTAGAAATGACCCAAATCGTAAGAGCATTCCACGCTTGACAAACTCGAAGGGGAAACTCATTCCGGTGGCATTCCAGCTGACTGTACTGGGTGGCAAGTTTCAAGTTATGACCCCTATATTCTGTGTTGCAGCTAAGCTTCAGGAGTTGGCGGCAGGCGTGAACGGGTTTTGTCAAGATCTGGAACGCCAGGTGAGGTCATCCCGTAAACGGCGATATCTTCCGTTGTACACTCCCAGCGCTCTCAGTCGTCTGTGGTATTGAAAGTGGGACAACCCCTCTATACTTTTCGTTGCCCTTCGCTGGGCGTTCTCCAGCGCAGCCAGATCGCGTTTTAATCAGGGTTGCGAAGCCTGGGTCGCGTACTGGACATGTGACCTCACATATGCATTGAGCATTTGGCTTAGATGGAGGGATCAAACCGCCCGAACGTCCTCCGTAACAGACCAACACGCTGGTTTGCGGTTTCGCACGCGTTCAATGACTGCGCCAAACAGCCGGCGTCGTCTTGCATCATCGCCTCAAGGTCTCGCTCTTCTGAAGCTATTTACAGCATGTCGTCTCCAAGCTTATATGCGTACGTGAGCGTGGGGCGGAGATGCACGGTTTTGCACTTGTCCGTGTAAACAGAAGTAGATTTAGCTTTAACCATTCAAAAGCGCAAAGTCCCGTCTCAACACATCGTGATCTTCCTGACAGTCGATTGCCCACCCTATCTTGCTGTCCCCGTAAAGACATGAAGTTTGACTTGATGACACTCACTAGATCGTTAATGATGGACAAAAGTAAGCGCGACCGTAACCCTGACCGTTGTCGAACACCGCAGTTCACATTAATTGGATCAAAAAATGAGCCCGAGCTCGAACCTGAAGGCTCCGCTGAAGGGGAAAGTTTCCGATCCATTCAAGGACAGCGTGTCCAACTCCGTAGGCCTGCCATTTTTGGAGAAGGATGAGATGATCCATACGATGGAAGGCTTTAGAAAAGTCTAGGTAGATAACATCAATGCCGGTCCCACTGTCGGCTCTCTCGGTCCAACTGCCACGGGCAATCAGTAGATAGGTTGTGCATGACCCATGCTGACGGGATTTGTGTTACTTCGGTGCTATGATGTTAGACCTTTCGAAGTCGCCCATTACAGCCTCAGCTATGATCGATTCCATCATCTTTGAGAATCACAGCGTGAAAGTTGGCGGGCTATGAAGGGATACCACTCTTGAAAATCGGGGTAATGATGTTTTGCTTCCACATGTTAGGGACGTGCTAATCTTCCAGCCATCGTTGGCAAAATCTCCTTAATGGTTTAAGGATCCTCGTAGCTGCCACCTGACCTGCTTTCGGGGAATGTTGTCAACTCCGGGGAACTATGGGTGCGCAACGAAAGCAGCTTCCTCAAAATGGTCGCTGAACTAAACGTGACGTGCGTAAATATTGGCTTCTGGGAGTTTGGGACAGGTATGTTACACATGCTGGTAGCACGTCGAAAAATTGGAGCATATTGGAGCCGCAGAATGTTGGCTGCATCCTCGGCGGTTTGAGCACATCCATCTGCTGATTTTAATGAAGGAACACCAAGTTTCACAACCCGCAGGCTGTTCACATGTCGTTACAGTATCTTCGTGTTAGCACAAAACTTCTCCGTTAGACTTTGCTGGTGTACTAATTGGTCTTCACGCACAAGTGTGGTACAGTGATTACGATGCACAACATGGTTACTCCTGTTGTCAGGGCTAAGGTTCGCTCTATACGTATGCCACGCTGTCCCAGTTAATGTCATGTGTTTTCGGGTTCTGCTCCGTATGAGTGATTGTGCCGTTGCAGAACGAAGGGGCTCGTTGACAGATGCAGATTTAATCAGCTCTCTGAACTTGACAGTAAACTCCATCCAAGCACTGTCAATGGAAAGTTGTCCGAAATCCCCCAGGTGTCATCTTTCACAAGTGGTGCCAATATGTAGTAATGGGTGCTTTTTCGAAACAAAATGTCCTTGTGGATACTCCACATAACACACGAAGTCGTAAATTATGGGTACGTGGTTGCTGCGCCCCAGAAAGCTTTCCATCCTTGGTTTCTCAGTCATAAACTCTTCGTTCACGAGCACTAAATCATGCACAGATGGTTTATTTTCGGCTCTGAATCGGGTGGGTGAACTGACATGGCTGAAGAGCGGAATGCTTGTAATATACTCTTGCATGTTGGCCTTAAATTGCTCGTTGGGGGATGCCGGAACTTCCTTCTCGTGAATATTGAAGTCGCCGGAGGTGAGAACATGGCTGTGTCGTTCCCTTTAGGACTCTTTCCAAGGATAATGTCAGGCGGGAGTCCATCTCTGGGGTGGACATTGCGAGACGATAAACGACGGCCAAAAAGCAAGTGTCGTTGCGTCTCGGTAACAGACTACACCAGAGTGCATCTATGATCAGCATTTCCGGATGGACTACCGATTCGCACTGCAGGTCCTTGCTGTAGTATAACAGTGCCCCCGCCTTTGCTAGATCGATCGTATCGGAGAAGGGACATACCATTTATCGCGACCTTGGTGTCGGTAATTTCTGAGTGTAACCTAGTTTGCATGACGAATATGAGGTCCCAGGCATGTGATGCTTGACGTAGCCGCAGTTTGGCAAGCTTGTTCAGGTGACTTGTGCATTGGTGTACATACAGGAAAATTCTCTGTTTTTGACAATGAATTGTGGGATGGATGTTTCGGGTAAAAGCTTGTGCCGACGGGCGAAAGGTCGGCCATTGCTCGTTTTTGGGAGTGGCAATGATGAACTTAGCTGTGTCAGATCCATGGATCCCACCATTACCTCTTTGCTTCTCGCTTTGAAGGTAATGAATAAGGTGCATTTGCCAGTTTCGCTGGCTAGTTGCTTGAGGTTATCCAAACTCTTGTCGGGAAGTGGTACGACTAAGTGGCTGCTCTCCTATGTTTGGTCAGCAGATGCTGCTTCGATCACAATCCTCGGGTCACATCTATTGTAGGTTGGCAATCGGCGCAGCCTGGTGATAGATTGCACTATGACGTTTTCCAGGGAGAGTGTCTCCCGAATGCATCGCCGTTGTTCCTGGTCGTGAGTGGTCGCTTCGCGCTTATCATGATTTCTAGCCTCTGGAACGCCGTGCACCAAGATAGTCCTGGCTGCGGATTCCTACCGGTTTTCATCCACGTAGTGCGTCGCCTGTCTGTGCTCGCTCCAAGGAATATCCAGGAATAGGCGGAGGGAACATGACCCATTCCGGGGATGAGCTCTCGATAACAGAACAGTTTCTGCTTCATTGGCGGAAATCAACACAACTCGGAGATGTCTTGGTTCACCGTGGTGCTGTAAGTTTGGGTGACGGGTAAGGCGTGTAAAATTGACGGGTTTAGCTACAACACCCATAATGTCCCCTAGTTCCACTGGTTCATGACATCGAGTTGTTTTCCTTCTAAGGAATTTGACGTCAATTCTGGCACGTTGGTACACAGTACCGCTGATATGCTACGTGCAAATCGGGTTGAACTTAAAAGACCAGCTGATCCGTATACAGCCGATGGATGTCGTGTTGGTACAGCTGGGTCCAGAGGAAATGGCCGAAAGTCTAGGTTTTCGGTCACCTTGGCAGTAACCAAGTTCCAACCACCACTGGTGTCAAAGTCTTTCTGCATTTTCGGAACCGTTTGGAGGCTGGACGCGGCCCTGACTGTATCATTGCAAGCAGAGTGGCGGTGATATGTAATCTCAACAGTCTAGCAACTAGACATAGATCAACTGGTGCTATTCACGTATAAAGCCAAAAATGACGTATTTCGCGCGCTGCTTAGCATTCTTGCTTAGTTTAAAGCGGGGCCTGCTGGGAATGACTGGAAGTTACTCTGTCAAGCTTTCTTCAAATGGATCGATTTTAGTGCTCCTCATTTGTTTAATCGTTACTGCCAGTCTTTCGTGCTTCTGCGATAGTTCATGTACAATCTTTAACAGTGGGATGACTATACATAGTGAAGTGAATCACAGTGAATCGGGTTTACTATTATGTAGCATCTACTGGTTAACTGAGCTTGGAACATTTATGATGAAATTTGCCAAGGCAACTGCTTTACTGGATCCCAGTACCTACATTTTTATGGTATGAAGGAAGGCTACGAACTACTGTCGATCTGCATGCGGTAACATAGGCTTTTGATTGGTCTCCACAATCCATTGCGTTGATCGATGCTATTCCGATCAAGGCCAGAGCGCTTATGGTCCCCTGCCGATCACATGTGCGCTGAATTTTCTGCATCTTCAAGCTCATCGCGTTCTGTGCATCTTTCCGGGGCAGGTTTCAGCGGCTAGATAGTTCAAACGGCAAACGGAGCGACTGAGCGATACGGACCTACTTTGATGTACCGTCCGCAGCTGTGGTTGCTGACTCGTCGGATAAAACGTGCAGCTGGCTTTCGTTAGAGACCACAAATATTGCTGTGTGGTTCGTGATTCGGAAAATCGCTTGATTGTGTTTTTGCGACAATGGTGCGAAAACCTCAATATGTAGATACAAGGCGATCCACACAAGCTAGATCTGAAAGATGGAGTGCACTAGATAACGCTGATGAAGCTGCGTCCGTGTGTAAACACTCGTTTGTGTGGAAAAAACGCAGCCGAGAAACAGCGACAAAGCAACCTGGACACAGATGAGCGATTAGCACACAGGCTCATTCATTGTCACAACCTTGCGAGCGGCCTCGCTGAAGTGAATCGTGATCTTTTGGGTAGGCGATCGCCCGCCACATCTTAACATCATCAGTGAACAGCAACAAACCTGAGGCAATAAAATACGCAAGCTCATTAATGAGCACGAGAGACAGACGTGGCCCCAGCGAATTCATGTGTGGAGACTTCCGGTGGTTTATGAATTTAGTGTAATGTAAAGCACTAATGGATGTAGCGTGGCATGTTCATAGAGATAAGACTGGTTTCAACGCTTGGGGGAATTAGCTGTTGCAGACTAATCAAATTGCCACGATGATCGTGAGGGTAAAGTTGCACACTAGCAATACTTAGGGAGATATGTCACAACAGTAACAGTAAGAGTACTAATATACTAACTGCCCTAGTTAATTTCGGAACTCAATTTTCTCAGAAGAGAGATGAATGCAATTAACCGAAAAAACCAGCAACGCTGTACGGCAATGATATACCCCCGGATTCCGACACGCCACCATCCTACCGCATTCCTTTTTCCAACTGCAACACTACCGAATTTACTTAGATTACCTTTAGTTCAGCTGTTCCTGAGTAACCGTAGTTCTCTCGAAGCTGATGCCATTCAACTGGAGACGCTGGGAGTATCAGCACAGCATTTAGTACAGTACTTTCAGAGGCATTTAGACAAATAGCAGGATCCTATCTTGAGAAATTAAGGCATTAACCGTTTAGAACCCACAAACTATCGTCTAGTTAGCCTCCTTCCTTTGTATATTACGGTGATGAAGCGGATGATTGCGATGGAACACCATGGCTTTCGTTAACCCCAGAGTGCACGGTTTGTTGGACCGAATTACTGAAAAGTGGGACCGGAATCAGCATCAACTCTTGACTTTTCCGAACATTTTGTGTGCCTGGATCGCTGCATCCTCCTTCTGAAGTTACAGAGCTGTGAAATTGGTGACATTGTGTTTGGATGAATCGGCAAATTCCTCCTTCAGCAGAAGCGGTGCTTGGTTCAGGTTCAGGGTCTATTTTTCGATTCGACGGAGGTAGAATGCGGTGCTTAAGATTGTTCAGCGATGAGACCCCGGTTATAGTCCATGCATACTGACGACTTGGTACATTCATTTACCTTGAATGCCTTATTGTGTCACTGATTTCAACATATGGCGGGTGAGTTGTAGTGAGGAACATCATGAATTCAGCTGGACATAGGAAATAGCTATGAATCATCAAAGGAGAATCTACTCCCGTTCAGTGAGGGTACATTAAAAGTGCGCTTATATACCTATCCAGCCAAAAGGTGGATAATTTTATGGAGATCACATTTTACGGAGAGTCTCGCGGGTACTTAACCTTGGAGGCTATACTTTAGCACGACATCGATTGTACGAAGCAAACCATGAAGGTATTCAGAGCCGGGAACCAATGCGCAAATCTCCATGGAAGGTCGTCTGGTAGTTTGACTCTACGTAGGGCTTAATGTAGATAATGGTATGCAGGCCTGGTAGCTCTAGTAGACAAGCCGTCTATCTGCGCTCAAGACTACGTGAAGAAAGTAAAGTGGAGCGATATTGGCATGTTACAAGAAGTGCATAGCGGACGGCATATACGTCTCGGACGTTATTTCACACTAACATATTAGATCCTGAATACCGTAGTCCGTTTGGCCGCTTGAAAGCCTACATGAGGTAGTGGGAACTAAATTTGGAAACACAGTAGAGCGTTTAGGAAAACCACCAGAATTCCTTCCTTCCTGTATTATCTAACCTGGAATACTATTCCGACCAATGCAATTTCTGTGTACATATTGTCTACGTTTACAAATCGACTAAATGATTCAGCGAGCCTTAGTATGATGTAAGCCGTATTCATGGGGAGCCAGACAGATTAGAAGCTGTTCTTGCCAGCATCCAAACAAAACGCGGACTAACACTTGTGTTTGTGTGAACATCATGATGCGTCCGCATATGTGCGGTCTATTTTTCGGCAGCGTCCGTTTTTGAACATACTTTGCTTCCCTGGATCATTCTATGGGCCCAGTTAAGCTTAGACTTGTTTCTTCCAGAATAGGCCATTGTTCCTTTGTTTCGTTCTTCTCTTCATGGATCAAAAATGTTCCTAAATTGCGGTGCACAAATGAGTTGGTTCTTCCAACAGTTAACTTCCCCTACTACACAGTAAGTTAAACATAGTAACAACCTATGGTGATATGAAACTTGTCGTTAGTCGAGCTAACTAGCAGCAAGTGAATGACTTCAGAGCAATGAAACTTACTCGGCATTGTAATTGCGTCAGCCATTGCTCAACCATCACTCTGGCCTCTTCGGCTCGATAGATCAGATGTTCCCGTTCCTCCTGCCACCATTTCATTTCTTTCTCCATTCCCTCCTCGACTTCGAAGTGTCGATGTCGGAACAGTTCGGCTTGTTGTCGATAGCATTCCATCTATATTTTGGAAGATACAGGTAGGTTCTTTATGGAGTATGACGTGAACATGACATGGAAGTCGCTGGCTGGGTAGACCTACCAGTAAAACGGTGTGTCATTAGCAGGTGAATTACTTTCGCACCTACGTGTATATATCGGACGGTCATTTTAGCCTTGCTCAGGAAACGAAAAAGGGTCAACTACTCTCCGTAGCTTTAACAAATGCGGCAGCTGCTGCTTGCAATCGCTATGGAATCAATCCCAAGTCGCAAAGGGTATTCATCAATACAAACAAATGGTAAGTTGAGGTCGAGGTGGAGGTTCAGGTCTAATATCCGTCTAATCATTATTGAGTAGTAGAGGGGTTCATTGCTTTTCTGAGAAGATTCACCGCAGCTAGACTAACCCAGATAGCCACCACACACCCAGAAAAGCGCTAGATAGCCGTTTTCTCTGATTCGGACTATTGGACGGGGTCGTGCTCGAAACTCAACATCAACAATGTCTTCGGACTGTACTCGATCATCCCCACTTTTTCGATTAGCAAACGCCTCAGTCACCCGGCCACCAACAGAGTAAATAGAACAGCCCCACATCCAGGTAAAGGGCACACTTCACAGTTGCAGGATTCCAAGTCAATACGATTAAACAGCTGTGTGAGGCACAGCCTATGCATTATCTGCTCGGCAGTGTGCGTGGTATCTGGTGGAACATTAAGTTTTATTGCTGCTGTGCAATGTGCTTATCGGGCCATCATATCGGATTTATTTATCAAATTGACCCAAAGTAGCGGTACATGAATGAGCGTTTTGGTATTTCTCACAGAAGGGGTCAACTATAACTGCTTCCGTGTTTTGCATGCTGACATTCAGTGATTATTTTACGCTGTCGTTATTCAGCAACGCAGTTAACTCGGTAGACGCTAAAATAGATGACTCACATAGATTTTGATTTTGTATTTTTACTCCAGCCATTCTACGGAACTTGTAAGGCGCTTGCTTTTTACCCGTGAGAAATCGTTGTCAATTGTTCAATAATTTATTATTGCGAGCAGATAAACCTATACGGACCAAACCCCATGAAGTTTGAAGGGCATACCTCGGGTTGAAACATTTATACAATCGTCAGCGACAGTACTAGTGTGTTACAGCCAGGATTTGTGAGGTACCGTTCTCTAGTCGTCGAAAGCAATCACAAATGTCAAGGATTACATTTATCAAAGCACAGTAACGTGACGAGACTTGTCACTGCTGTATATTTGATTGGAGGGGTCGTTTTGAACCACACGTGTCAGTGGGTTGCGACGTGCAATTTTGATGTGGATTGCAGTTCGCATTAAACTGAACCTTGGTTACTTCGATCACTGGTGTTCAGACGGGTGCGCTATTGGCTAACGTTATGGGACATAACTTGTGCAAATTTTTACTCTGCTGTTAACACTGATTCAGATCGATGAGTGTCCTTTTGATGCGGTCCACTTTGCAAGTTAATCTGTTATGTTACCAAGCCATGAAGTCAGTTTCCAAAACTAGCTGGTTGTTTATGCACTGTTCAGTATCTGATTGTGCTGAACGTTTAAATGCGTGCGGTCTTAAACGTGGCAAAAAGAGGACTAGTTCTGGTATCCTCAATACAATTAAGATGCCATTTTAAAAGAGGAATGTTTCAAAGCAAGAGTTCTTCATTGTTATGGAGCAACACACAAATCTGTCGGATCAACTCAGAATTCAACCCCGGAGGTGTGTTGAGGTAGTTCACAATCAACCATCGTTGTACACCTTAGCTGCAGGTGGAAAACACACCAGCTATTGTACCACAATACAAAGGAGAGAAAAAATGAAACAGAGCACGTCGGATGAGTCACCAGTAACAGATGGACATCGTTCCGGAGAGTTAACAGCCGGCTATTGTGCCGCGAAAAGTCATATTATGCCTAATAATTGAGATCGTAATTGGAGGGGGAGGCTAAGTGGGACGAGGAGGGACAAAGAAACTCAGGTCGGCTCCTAGCCATGTCAACCAGTGTATCCAGCCAAATGTGTTCATCGTCGTTCGGTCTCCAACCAGGAAACCGAGAGGCTCCAAGTGAAGCGAAATGCGAAAAAAGGGCATTGATTCCTCTTGACCAACTTGGCCACGTCACTTCTTCTTCCATCCGTACCCCCGGCGCGCAAACAACGCACGTCGCGGGAGTCGGTAGGCTGGTATGCAGAAGACATGGCCTAGCCATCGGAGTCTGTCGCATGAAATAACAATGCTGAGCGGTTCGCTTCTTCTTCCTGCGCGATAAACAAGGCGTCGAACACGCTCATTGCTCATACGATGTTCCCACCAGATATGAGCCAAACTGCGAAGGTATTTAACGATGTTCAGACAGTTGAAGATAAAATTGGATCAGCACTGAACTGGCACACCAATAAGGACGCATGAGTGGTGACGTTGGATGCGCAACGACGATCAAGGCACCACGCGACCATATGCTACGCGAGTACGTGATTATAGAATCAGTGAGACGAGCACCTACGAATACTTGTAGGGGAAATGCAAGTTGAACAAAGTGAAAGCGACAGCGACTTAATAACACACCTGGTTTGATGTAACCAGTCCCACCGGACTGGTCAAACACCAGGGGAGGTCAAACAACTTAGTTAAATTGGTGAGATAAAATAGGGTCGAAACATGAAATGGAGTGTAATGTTTTTGAACGGCAAACACACAATATCTATCTTGTCTAGTATCAGTCCTAGTGATCGAACTAACCAAGGTTCACTGAAATGTGAATCACGGCTCACGAAAAGACTGCGCTTCGCAATTCAACCAAAAAATATGTACTTCAAGGTGCCCTTCCAGTAATCTTAGTTAACCATTCACATGACGAATCTGAGTACGTATGGTGAATATGGATGTGAAAAGCTTGGATGGGGTTTAAAAGATTAAGAATAACGGTGCGGTCTCAGCGATATGCATAGCTTGACAAAGGCTTGACGAACGAGATGGGGGAGACTGATTGACAAAGTTTTCACTATGTGGGTAGCTGAGACGGTACAACCCTCTTTTGCACTTCCCGGTGTTGGTGGGGGCAGTGTGGTTCAGCTATGGACTCTTCTCCTAAGTGGATTGCAGCTAGCTGCTCTTATATCCATCGTCAGAAAATGAAACTCAACCCGATCAGTCGATCAGGAAAAGGAACGGACCAACGAAAGACGAAGGGCCAGCAAACCAACGGAAGGTTAACGTGTGGGAAACAAGGGGACAAACGCAACAGCGTCACTGAATTCATCGCTGTGTTAAATCTAAGGAGGATTTGTAAGTGTTGCGTTTCGATTTGACGGATTAAATTCAGCCCATTCCTGGGTATACGGCAACAAAAGATTCGCTGAGACGATTTTGAGCAACCATGTCAAGTGTTTCTTCTAGTCCCGCGTACTGCTCTCGTCTTCATGCACACAATGTGATCCAAAAAAGTCCTTATTCTGTATAATCCGCATTAACAACCCTGACGTCTAGAATCATTAATGCGTGATAATCAAAACGAGTTGCAGAACCGCAGGTATCATTCTCCTCGTGTAACTCAGAACATTGATGGGCTAGTCGAATTATGCACCTGACCAGGGGAGAAACTCAGAACACATAACGTAGGATCTCATACATCTAACCAGAAACAATTGTCTTGGCTTTATACACGCATTCTGGTGACTGCGTGCACACTCCAGGCAGTATAGGTTAAGACTGGCTCAGATTTACTATGTGTCACGGATGGCCTGTAGCCAACGCTCCTTCACACGCGTGCTACACCCTCCGTCAACTGCATACCAAAAACTTGCATTATGGATGCTAAAATTCAATGCCGATTGCGACAAGCGTCCCCGGCTTTTATTGCGCACCAACCTTTTGCATTATCTAGTAAAGATTGTGATGCCACCTGTTCCGTTGTATATTTCTGTGTCCACTGTTGGTGACACTACCCAAGATTTAATTTAAAAATGTAAGTTGGGTGCACATCCAAAACTTAAGCAAACTGGAAAAGATTCTAGCCACTAATGTGAACGAATCCGTGCAACTTCTTGAGCAGAGCAAGCACCAGCATGTCACGTATGCATTTGAGTATCGATTCGTAAACACAGCCCTCACATGAATGCTTGACAATGACCTTACCTTGCATTATTTCCTTGGTTTTCCTTTCTGGCACTGCCAACCACCGTAACGCAGGAAGCTTGTAGAAAATCGGTTCCATACTACGCGTACTCGTTCAGTTCCGTTTGTCGACTAAGGGCCATATTTAACATTCTTGCGACGGGGTTAAGCTACTTCGATGTTGCACTTCCTACACTACTTGAGAAGATTCCTTCTGCGAAGCCAACACCGGCTACATGGAAACACTGGAAGCGCACCTTTTTGGATTATTTGGAGCTAGTACCAGTCTTGTAACCTAAAACGGTAATCTCAGAGTCACAAAATTAAATTCTTGCGACAATTTTTGGAAGGATGAAGGCCAAAGACATTTTGATGCCCTCCATGTCGGTGAGCAGGAGGTAGCCAACAGCGCGCTAGAAGTCCTCAGAGGGTTATGGGGTTCACTACTGAACACATACACTGAGCGGTATTCTTTCTCGACCTCGCGTCAAAACCTGGAAAGAGTGTCATTGATTTCACTGCGCGGAGTCAGCAAGCCCTATAAGAGTGACAGTATAGTGAAATCCAAGTTACGAAGTTAGAAGAGGCGATGGATTTACAGTGATTGGTATCCGGTATCCGTAACGAACTGGCTCGTGAAAGATTGTTGTTGGAAGATGAGATGACGGTAAGTTGGGAGAAAGCCTGCAATATTGTTCGAAAGCTGGAGAATGTCCATAAACATTTAGCAGCTTTTTCCTCGCATCCTCATACAGACACAATCCAAACAGTCGATCGAAAAGGTGTTACCCCGAGACGGTCCGAATTGCCTTTTATCTGTTACCCATGTAGAAGTCAGCATTTATCATTTGAGTAATGTCGTCATAAACAGAGTATCTGCCACC